AAAAAAAAAAAAAGAAATAAAAAAATAAATGACAAGCTTCTTGGATGTGACTTAGATTTGTGGCTATGTAAAAGAATGTCTTGGCCACAGCAACCATTGAAGAGTAGCCGTGGCCCTCCACTATCCCATGGCCATGGGCCTCAACAAGAGCCACAAGGTGACTAAGAATGTGAGCAAACCGAGGCACAGCCACCGTTGCAGATGCCTCACCAAACACACTAAGTTCGTGTGGTACATGATCCAGGAGGTGTGCGGCTTTGCCCCCTACGAGCGGCGCACCACGGAGCTGCTCAAGGTCCCCAAGGACAAGCGCTCCCTCAAGTTCATCAAGCAAAGGGTGGGGACGCATATCTGGGCCAAGAGGAAGTGTGAGGAGCTGAGCAACATGCTGGCCACAATGAGGAAGGCAGCTGCCAAGAAGGACCAACCCCCTCTGGAATAAAGCTTTGCAGAAAGTTAAAAAAATAAAATAAAAAATGTCTTTTTCTTAAGCAATAAGTGCTGACATGCTTAGGAATGTTCATCATGATGCCTGCAATTTCAAATAACAAATGGACATCTAGAGAAAGATTAAGCATGCAAAGGTAGTAAAGATGTTAGCAGTATTCCCTCAACTAAAAGAGGGAAGGTGGCTTTCTTTAACATTTAAAAAAGAAGGGGCTGGGGATTTGGCTCAGCAGTAAAATGCTTGCGTAGCAAGCTGGAACTCTGGGTTCCGTCTTTGGCACCAAAAACAAAAAATGAACCTCCCCTAGAAAATCTTGGGCTGGCCAAATATCTCAGTGGACTAAAGTGCCTGCTTAGGCAGATGCAATAGCTGGGGTTCAATCCTCAGTGTGCCAGCCCCACCTCTGGGGCGCACTGAGACAGCGATTGAGACTGGGCGTGGTGGTGCACGCCTCTAATCCCAGCTCTTGGGAGGCTGAACACAGGTGGATCACTACAAGTCCAATCTACATAGCGAGACCATGTATACCCTGTACTAAAAAATACAAAAAGAAAAGGAAAAAAAAAACTTTTAAAATGACTAATTACAAAATATAACCAGTAACATTCCGGAAGAATAGCCTAACAAATAGAGATGATTGGTCTATAGCAATTCCTAGGCTCCTTGCTGTAGAATATTACTTTTCTGCATTTACAGAAGGGTGTTCCCATATCCAGCTTTCAAGTCCAGGTAATAGTAATTGGATATTGGTAACAGTTCATTTATGTCATTTAATCCATCTTTGTTATCTGACTTACAAAAAAGCATTTGTTTCTTAAAGTAAAAGACTGCATTGTACATCCATTGCTTACCAACAGGGAATTTGCCTGTGGTCTATAGCGACTGGTATATAAACCTTTGGAATTAATCCCTTTGTGCATCCTCTCCGAGTGCTGACCTTTTTGCTTTGGTGTGGAACATTGTTTTACAGTGCCCTGCACAGCTGTCGGAGGGGCCTCCCGTGTCATGAGCACCAGCACACTCTCTTGTCTAGTCTCACATTTTTAAGATAAAACAAATTTCAAACCACACATTCTCTGTGAACTGCTAAAGACTGGGAAAAATTACTTTCTTTTCTCATGACCTGGATTGACAAGAAGCACACCTACAGGAAGCAAAGAGAGAAGTGAATCCCTTTTAAAGACCCTCGTAATGAAGCCCTCAGGGAATTGCTGCACACGCTAGCATTTACAGTAGCTTCTCCAGGAGAACTGGGTAGCGGAATGAGGTTCAGGACTGCGGCTGTTAGAATATGGTCTACATTTGTTTTGCATTAGCTTATTTTGGGCCTCAGTGAGAAAGATATTTTAATAATATCTTGCTCTGCTAGAAATATACATGATAAGTGGCAGATGTCAGAAAAAGGGGGAAGTTACAGCACTCTGTTCTCCTTGAGACTTAAAGAACTTATATAGTTGTTCTCTTTTAGCCTTTGAAGTCAACACTGGTGCGCAGAGAAGCATAAATTGGAAAGGGCATTACACATAGATGAAACCAGTGATCTTCAGACAGGTTGGAGTCTCACTGATAGGGAGCTAAGGACCTGCATTTTTCTAAGCTACCCACGTGATTGCAAGGCAGTCTGGTAGCATTTAAGAGCCAGCGTTCAGAAGCTCCTGGTCTGCTCCAGCCCTCTGACTGCAAGTAAGAATAGGTGGAACCACATGAAAATGTTTCAATCCACTGATGTCAGGAAACTGTATGTTTGGCTGTCAACATGTTCATCTTCCCAAGTGGCCGCACAGCCCCTTAGAGTGATCACAATTCGGATCTTAGGCCACGTGTTTGCCTCATAAGGCCTGAGGCTCTGAGGTGCCCATCTTGTAGTTTCTCTGACTTCGTTTTGGGCTCTTTCACTGCTTCACCCAGTG